GGCGGCTCGAGCGTGAAAAACGCGCGACAAGCGCAAAAACGGTGTGACGTATCGATTCATATGAGAATCTTGCAAAAAATACAACTCGAGTGTTTATATTAACATTTAAATTAATGTTCTTAAAATAAATTGAATAAACCAAGATTTTGGAGATAGGAAAAAAATTTCAAAAAAATCTACTTTGGGCCATCGCAGTGAGTACGCATATACTAGTTTCCTCATCCATTTCAGAAACACCCTGTATAGTAGGCGTTGAGTAAGTACTAGCTATGATGTATGTGTTAAATTAAAATTTAATAATAAACCATTGCATATGAAAAATAATTTTGAGCAAAGATGGTCGTCAGTCTAGGTGTATTCTTAAGTATATTTTAATATGACATATTTATATTGCTTTTATAGTAAGTTATTTATTTAACTATTAGTAATAGATAGGTATGATAAGTTGAATTAATCTTACCAAACTATTTTTCTCCCAAATATTAGTTTTAAAATTTATTCTTAAGTGAAAAATTAAGGAGCTGCCACATACTTAGTTTTTTCATTGGAATTGTGCCACTGATGTATTTAATACTTTTTATTAACATTAAGAAAATTAATAATTAAATTTAATAAAATATTATAACCTAACTAGGTTCTTAAAAACTATGAATAAGCAATTTAAAATTGCTTAAAAAAAGATTATTAATTTAACATAAAAATATATTTAAATATATATACATTAACATTTAAAATTAAGTAAAAGACAATGACATTAATGGAATTATTAAACTAAATTTTCTGAAAAGAACATGAAAGTATTTATTGAATTGTATGAATTCCCAGTGAATAATAAAAATATATAACCAATTTCTGTTTATATTTACAAAAAATATAAGTATATATATGTGTATACAAATAAAATCAAAATACAAGTTGATAAAATAATAATAATAATAATAATAATAAATGAACCATCAAACTCTAACCAAAGCTGTTAACCATAAAACATAACAAATTATAATATTTGTACTTAACTATTGTAACAATAATATCACAGAAATGCTTTCCTTAAGTGTACAAAAAAACAAAATATAATTTTATTAATAAAATAAACCTTACACACAAGTTAATATATAAAATAAGGTACATGTCTTTTATGCATTTAAAAAATGAATAACTGTTACTTTTAGTTTAACAATATAAAAATAAAACATTATTAAATAATAATTGTAGGCAATTTCAGTAAAAATGTTGCAATGTATCAAATCACAATGTAAGTACCTATTTATAAAATTAAAACTAATACAAATGTTTAAATGAAAAATCAAAATATTTTGTGATCAGAAATACTGAAACAATTAACAATAGATGTGTTTTAATCAGCAACCTTCATTAATAAGTAATTATTGTTATATAGACACAACTCATGAATCATGATTAAAAACAAAAAGATACATCTTCAGTATAAAACATATCTAAAAAAAAAAAAAAAAACTGCCTTAAAAATGTATAAATTCTATGATTTACCACAACTTGTAAGTAATAACAATAAAACATAGAAAAATATTAGAGAATTATATTCTTAATCAACTATTATTATTAAACACATATAAACATTATATTTGTAGACATATAAAAATAGTTTTGGTAACAACGGTAACAGTTGTACTCTTGAACAACATAAAGGTTAGGTAAACATTAATATTATAAATAATAATGATTTATATATATTTTTTTATAAGCGTTAATGAACACATGGAATTAATTAATTAAAAAATTTGACACAGCTCAAAATTACAGGTCATTTCTTTCATAGCAATACCAAATTAGTTTTTAAATGTCGAATTATCTGAAAAACAAATTCCAATAACAGATTTATAATACATAGTATAAAATAAGATTGTTATTTTGGTATCAAATTTATAAAAACTTGGTATAAAATGATCAGACAAAATAGTAAAAAATAAATATTTGAAGCTCTTACATCAATCATAAGATTTAGATTTCTTTACACGGCAAGAAAATATGTAGCTAAATCAATATTAGCAAACAGAACATACAAATTAAATTAAAAATATATAATCTTATGGTTCTTTCTTAATTAACATAAAGCAGGTACACTATTAATACACAAAAAAATACACGTTTATATATTCTGTATGTTTACAAACACTTACAGTTATTGTTGTAATAAGTTTATTTTAGCATTGTGCAATAACATACATTATACCACTACTATTTATATGTTATTTACAACAATTAGATGTGTAGCACTAGGAACTTATGAGTACTGGTTTTGGTCCCCATTATAACATACATACAAAATATAAAATCAAATTTATGATTTGAAAACAAAAACATAGTATTTCCTTTTTAATATTATTAACCCAAAAAAATTTAAATAAATAATAATAACATGCCCATAAAAGCGATATTTAAAAAACTAAAATGGTTTATTGGCCGGGTCATTCTTTTTACGAACATGGTTTAGTATAATATTGACAACGGCAATCTTAATCTTATATTTGTAATTAATAATAAACATTGTACATAAAAGAAAAAAGAAAACATACAATTATTTAACAAACCATTTAAATATTCACATATGTACGAGTTATAAAATAATTTTAACGATTCTTTGAAAAAATATAACACGCTGAAACTATTGAAACATAACGCTAACATAGTATGCATTGTTTGAAGACTAGACTGTATAATATATATATATATATTTGAATTTACACTACGTATTGGGTGTAACTGAAATAACAAATGACAAGCGGTATTATTTAATCTACAAAAATATCTGACACAAAGGAATATAATATATATAAATGTAAAAAAATATATATATATAAATATATTATTTTACTGCAGTAAGTCAGTAAAGTGCAATAGTAATTTTTTGTATTAAGTCAAAAATAATTTATTTTAATATAAGGTTTTTATACCTAAAATAAATATATAATCTGATAAGGTAAATGTATATGAACTACTATGGATGACTGACTAGATAAGTATTAAAATATGTATATATATATATACATAATTATATATATATATAATGTTTTTTTAGTGGAACTATTATTGTTGTTGATGAAAAACCTGATTGAACCCTGGCAATGGTGTAGTACCCGTTTCAGAATTTTGTCGTAAAAGAGCGGACAGTATTTCTGATGAAGACGTAAGGTATTCACCAACTTGAAGTTGTGTCGGCTCATGTTCAACTACATGTTGAGTAGGCAAAATAGTTGATTCGTGACTTGTTAGTACTGAAAGATTAGGCTCAATATTAGTTAGGGTTGAAGATGGTATCATAGTAATTAATTGAGACAATCCAGGCATTTCAGGGTTGGCTGATTCTTCATAATTGTCAGCTAGCTGGTTGGTCAAGGTTGTATCAAATACTTTCAGTTCATCGACTGGATATGACGATTGAGGTTCATAGTTTATAACTGGTAAATTTACTTCACTGGATGATCCAACAGTTTGAATAACTGTCTCACTACTATTTTCACTATAATTAAAACTAGTTATACTAGAAGAATGAAACATTTCTATTCCTGACGACATTGTCGAAGAATTCTCTTGTTTTATGAAATCTCCACTAGTTACTGTTTCTGCTACTTTTCTTTCTACTTTATATGGCTGACCACATGTTTCAAGATAAATTGCTTCAACTGATTTACTTTTGTACAGTTCAGTTGGTTTTTTGGGTTTAGATTTCTTACTTGCATTAATGTTATGACTCTTTTTTATGTGCCGAGTAAGATGATCTTTGCGACCAAATCGTTGTGGACAAAATTGACAAAGGAAATCTCGCAGACCAGTATGCACTACCATATGTCGCCGAACATCTTTACCAGTGTAAAAACTACGATCGCAAAAATTGCATCGATATTTTTTATCAGCTGGAGTCTTTATTACCCTTGATCCTGAATGTATTTTCAAATGGTACATAAGCTCATCTTTGGATTCAAATACTTTATTACAAATCTTGCAGTCAAGAAATCCTTCTTCTACAGAATGTACAGCTATGTGTTTACGGTAACTAAGCACTGAACTGTACTCTTTTGAACAACCAGGGCGATCACATTGTAAAGTCCGTTTAATGGGATTATGTACTTTGGCATGATTTTTTAAATGGTCTTTTCTGTGAAAAGTTCGATCACAAATTGTACAATGATATTGACGTTGGTCAGAATGTATTAATACATGACGAACTAATTTAAATTTTGATGAAAATGCTTTTGAACAATGTTTGCACACAAATGGTTTTTCACCAGTATGTGAATAAGAATGCTGTGTCAATTTACATGGACTTGTAAATGACTTAAAACAGACTTGACATATATGTCGACCTCTCAACATCTGATTGACTCCCAGTTGTTGCTGTTGTTGCTGTTGTTGTTGTTGTTGTTGTTGTTGTTGTTGTTGTTGATGTTGTTGTGACTGTTGTATAGAAGTACTTGAACTTTCACCACTTTCTGTACTCTCAGACACTGTTGTCTTTTGGGTATCGCTTACACTCACCGTACTTTCGGGCTGTTCATAACATAAATCAAACAGCTGACGTTTACACGTGGCTGGTAATTGCAAAGATTTTCTGTTTCTTTTTTTTGATTGGTTAGCAAAAGAAGAATCACTGGTTGTAGTTGGGGTTGAAGACAAACACACACAAACATTTTGCTGCCCAGTCTTACCTTGAATTGGTTGATTACAATTTGGACATAATTGAAAAACATGTGAACGCAATTGGCGACCTGGTGATATCTGGACATTGGATTCATTTTTTGGCCATTGACAGTGGTCTGTAAACAAAATATAGAATATTACCTTACATGGTGTTATAAATGAATTAAATAATTCTTAATATATTATAAACTAATTACATTTTCAACTTTATAATATATATAAAAAAGTAAGTTTATTAACTCATATATGTATTACTATTTTATAATTGTTTACCAAGTGAGCATAGTAGTCACATAGACAATTATTCAAGAATAAAATGCATAACATACAAATTTAAAGTCATCAAAAATTAAATAACACTGACATTTTTTTATCATAGTTTTACAATAATTATTTTTGGTTATAATCTATTTTTTATAACAGTTATTGAGAACATTTTTTTTTTTGTACTTAAAATTTTTAAATAATTCATTTTCAAAAAAAATGAAAAAACTTCTATAAAAGAATATAAAGATTATTGACTATATAAACAAGTATTAGATTCTAGTAAATAATAACTTATTTAGTTTAATATTTTAAGATAAATGTACTTTATTTTACTGTGCAAATAATACATTACTCATAGCTAAAGAGCAGATGATTTTTAGGTTCTTAAAAGCTTAAAATATGATGCTAATATGCTCTAAAAAAACCTAAAATATCTCTAAATATTCCTTAAACTAGTAAATATACAGGTAATGTGATTTTTTTTTTTCCAAAATAGTTCAATAAAAACAATAAATAACTTACGTACCATTTCTTTGGTAACAAGTAAAATATTTAAAGATAAAAACAAATATTTATTATTAAAAAATAATTTTATCACGTTATCAGTTATTAAATATGATAGTCTACGATATAATCACATACTGAGAGGAACAAAATCACCAACATTACCAATTCAGACAAGTAGATAATTGAATGATTTTTAATTTTTATCATTCATATATTAAATTATTATTTTTTTCCTAACAAAAATTGTTGCTGGAAAAAATCACAAATCGAGAAATTAACAATATATATGATTTTTTATGAACAATAATAGAATATATTCTAAAAGATAAAAAAAAGGCTGAATATTCTCTAACGTCCAAAATATTCTTTAGTGTGCAAAATAAATTTTTTTTTGTGAATTCTGTTATGGATAAATCGTCCATATCATTCACATAAAATTACATAAAACCAATAAAAATATGTAAACACCTAAAGATCTGTTCTCTACTCATAACTAAATTGTATTCAAAATTAATTGAATTATTCTATTTAATTTACTTAACAGAAATAAAATAAGAAAACAATTACATTTTGATAAATTTAGCTCATTTTAACACTTAGAAGTGGCTATAAATTTAAAGAGTAAACAACTAAACAAATTCTGTAAAGATATTTAATTAAATCTCTGGTATTATACAATTAAAAATCAATCAACAGAGAATTTAGAAATAAAAAATACTAGAATTTGAGCTAAAAATGAGATTAATTTTTAGAGCACTTATATAATTAAATACTTAAGTATTTAATAAATTATTTCAATATTACATAGAATTAATTTAACAACATTAAAATTGTGATAATTTAATGCCTTAGACTTTAAAATATATTAAATTTGTATACAAATTATCATAGACAAGTAGACAACTCTTAAAATCATTAGATTTACTAACAACACAATAGAACATGTAACAAAGAATACTAGCTTAAGACCTATTGTAATGATAGTCATTCGTTAAAATCAATGATTAAATGACTATCATCATATCTGTTATTATATTTTATACTTTAATAAAATTTAACTCTCAGTTTGGTCATTTCACATCTATACGAAATTTGTCACCAGCCAGTATCCTTGTACCTGTATCTGAATGTAGTCATACATACCAAAGTCAACTCAACAAAGGTTAACAGCTGAATTATAGAGTAAGTATCCAAATATAAAACTAAATTCTTATGTATAAGTTTTTAAACAAATATAGTAAAATATATGTTAACAATAAATTATATACAATCAGCAAAAATATAACATACATATATTTGACCATACATTTCTTTATTTACTACACTATAATGCAAAAAAAAATATCATAATAATGAGTAGATCATAAATATTTCCAGTACATACTTCTTTTAAATAAATAATTATTTAAGAGCCACTTTAGATAATCAGTAATAATAATACAAAACTGGGAACTAACTAATTAGAAAGTTACTTTTAAAGAAACACTCTAACTTAACTAGTTGAATTCAGTGATTAAAGTAATCTTATCTGATGTGTTAAACAAAATAAGTAGCTAATTATTTTTTTAGTTTTGTTTTTTTCGTTTTTTTTTTTTACAATAAAAATTTCAATGATTTGTAAAACTGACGAATGTTAACTAGATGATAATTTATAGTTAATATTTTGTATTTTATGATAATAACTAGACACATTTCTTAGAATAGTATTTCTTATCAATTCTTTTTATTTCTTGTAATGCACTGTTCATGCCACGGCCATAGATATAGATATTTTATAACAAATAATTATTTATTAATTGAATGTAATAGGTACTTTACATTTAAAGAAACAAGTTTTTAACTGTAAAAAAAATTAACTTCTGACTTAGGTAGTTAGTTGTTATGTTAAAGTGACTTAACTTTCATTGATTAAAAAAAAGACTTGGCTTTCCCAGTTTTCGACTGTTATAATAATACGTTAAATTGTGCCTATTTAAGTGACGTGATCGTGTCGATTAAATCATATCACTGGCTCGGTAAAGTAAGTACGCTTGTTGTACTCCACTACAATACCTAAAACAAACAAGTAATAGCTGTCGACGTGGTCGTTAAGACTAGCGTTAAAGGCTACGCTTAATGCTATGACCAGAAAAAAGATATTTTCAAAGCAACGGCCGTTAGCAGGCGAAAGTAATAGTGATTAGCGAGCAAGTACTACACACCTTTGGATCCCATACCGAAGGCATATTCCTTGTGTTTTGGCAGTGCGTTCCCCTGTCGGCTCGTGGACCGATGGACGACGTCGAGCAGATGGATGCGGTCCACAAACGATTCCGTGCGAACGGTACCTGCACGGCTGGCAAATCGAACGTCGTGGGCAATGGACGCGCGTATCCCGGACGGACGACACCGCGGACGGGTCAGGTCGGGCCGTGCGAACGGGAATCGCACCGTCGGACGGGTGTGGCGCCGGAATAGCTGGCGACCGCCGCGAGTCTGTTGTTGCTGCTGCTGCTGCTGCTGCTGCTGCTGTCGTTGTCGCTGCGGCGGCGGCGACCGGTAACACACGCGCGCGCGTCCGTCTCCGGTGCGGCGGCTTTAACAGGCACTTCAGTTTGCGCCTCGCGATGGCGGCCGTCGGTGTCGACCGTCGTTGATCTGGACAGCGGCAAACGACGATTTTCCGACTGGCACCGTGTGATTCGCCGACGACGGAACCGTGCAAGAGGAACGCAGACGATTTCGCATTGTTATCAAATGCGCCCTTGAGTAACAGGCGGCGGCGGCGGACAGCGGTGCATTGTTTTTGTTTTGTTCCGTCGTCGTTATTTTTTTTCCTCTCTTCTACTCATACTGCGAAACGAGCAGATAACGTTCTGACGGAGACCGCGCGCGCGTTCCGACCGCAGCAGCTGATGTCTGATCGCCACTTGTCGGCTGTCGCCGCTTATCGGCTATTGTTCGTTGTCGACGACGACTCCGTCACGATTATTTTTTTTTTATTATTTATTTTTTTTCCCCCCCGTTGTCGATTTGTCATCCGTCATGTCCGTCGTCGCTGCCCAGTGCCGATCGTTTATTCGTTCCCTTAACGCGGCGGCGACGGTACTCGCCTTTGATCCTGTTTGGGATTACCGCAGCAACCACGCGACTTGTCGGCTTTTGCGCCACGACAGGTCGCCGACCGTAAAAACCGAATCGGTTCGTTCCTGTGTAGACGCGACAATCGCAAACGGCACGACGAGCACAGATCCGTCACTACTGCGACTGACCAACACGTCCCCCTCCCTCTTGCAAGCCTACGCGTTTTTCTCTCCGACACGCAATTCATAGGCATTTAGCGCGTTCTATCGCTCAATGTATCGATCGATCGATCGATAGATCTGTGGTGCTCAGAGAGGTGAAAGTTCTGAAAACAGATTTGAATTTTTCATCAGGTCTATATTCGAGATCGTGGACTTACTCAGACGTGTGAGATTTTGTATTCAACCGAACCCTATAACTATCGTATTTGATTTGTTGAACAAATTAAAATCAAAAACATGAGAGAGTCGGCGTCTAGAAGTCTTCGCGATGAATTAAAAGCCTGTCTTATGTTTTAAAATTACTTTATTAGACTAAAATAACTTTAGTTTTTATAATGCTTAATTTTGAAAATAATCTTTCGCGTGAACATATCGTCTGCGCAAAAATGATCACGAACGATTTTAAAACTTTAAATACATAAATACATTACAAAATATAACTTCTCTGCTGGTTCTAGATAATGACAATTCGTAGTTAAACATTCCATTCACTTTTCACGATTTTCATTTATTATTTTCGGATAAGTAGGACTGTAAATTTAGTGCAGTAAAAAACCTTGAAAATGAATTTAAAATGTACAAAACATACGCTTAAAATTCCGAAAATTGTAGTACGAATTAGATGCACTTAAAATCACAATTTTAAAAATTCAAACTTATTTGTTAGAAAAATTTGTAATAATATTGGTAAAATGGTGAATATTTGAACTAGGTTAAAATTCCAACCAGATTTTCGACAAATTTATAAATGTTAAAGACTTATGAAATATATTAATTGATAAAATAATAATAATCTACAGGATAGCACAGTAAGAATAAATCCGTAGTGAGGACAGTCGCATTACTCTTATCTCTTCTCGCTTGTCCTGTTCACGACATAAAAATAATCATGCGTTTATGCCCTAAAAAAAAAAAAAATCATTTAGTATAAAATCCAGGACGAAATAAATTTGAAAGTCGGTAAAATAGTATTCATGGGTAGATTTCTATTTTTTTTCAGTCCGCTACTGCCTCTGGCGTTTATAGTCATTTAATTATGGAAATACGTCATTTTTCGTCTATACTTTTTTTTCGAAATACTTTTGCGTTTAGATTCCTTATTTTTTTTTCACGCATAACATGATTGACCCACATCACATATTATCATGTATTATTGTACTACGATATTCAAAAAAAAAAAAAAAAAAAATGTTTAATCTCAATAATTCTTACAATATTTTGTGTGGGAACTGCCTATGCTGATAAATAATTAACACGGTGCAAGTCGCGATGTAGAAAAGATAAAAATTTTTAATTTTATGCGCACACCGTGGTGCAAGTATAAGCCCACGTCACTCTAAATTTCAAACGAAAAATGATATACATCACGTCATTATTTTTAAACTCAATCGTCCTAAATCAGAATAATTATTAGTCACGCTACAAGGACCCGGGGTAAGCGTTTGTCCCGGTGCGACTGTGTCCCATATTGAACGTTTGTGCAATAATTTCATATCAATACGGTAAAAAAATTATTGTTTTCGCTGAACATGAATTGGAAATAGGTAGGTTCTAATATGTTGCACTAATGCAGTCCATTGGCTGTCAATTTTCGTGACGATGTAGTGTCGCATGATTAGGCGGCTAAATAGAAAGAAGACTTTAATAACACGCAAATAAACGATGATCGAATCGAAAATTAACCGAAATTATCAATTCTTTTATGAAATCAAAACAAGAAAAACTATTAGTTATAAATCAACAGTAATGGTTTTTTGACATTTACATTTTCAAAGTATTTAATAACTGTTATTTTCTTGCGTGCCTACTATATAATATTAATTATGAATGTACGACAAACGGTCAATATATAGAGTTTGATCAACATTGTAAATTTGATGGCAAATGTCAATGTGTATTGATTTTGTATTTAATTCTATGTTATATGTCATATTATGATACAGTTATTAATTAAATAGCATTATTTTATACATTATATTATATACGATTTACTTAAAATTTGTGTCAATTTAATTTTCGTTCATTAGCTAATATCATAATTATTCATAACTTATTCTTTTTTATAACCGTACGGCCGTAGCACTACGGCGTACAGTGTGGACCGCCATGCGCCGGTTTATGACAAAACGACGTAAAAGTATACACGTTTTCCGGTTTTCGTTATAATATAACGATAATATACCTAATATAATATTGTTGAATATTGTATTAATTTCGAATTTACAAACGTGCGAACAAAAATTGTGAATATCTATCTACGTATTTTTGCATTACGATAAGAACAACTAACGAGGAACCTCCTTGTGTTACATTAATTTCAAGCTTTTTAATTGAAAAATAAAAATGTTACCAGACACAATACACATAATTCAATAAAAAAAAAAAAAAAAAGGTAGACAAGTGCAGTGTACCGCTTTGCTGTACATTAAGTGTCTCGAGTGGATCGCTATTATGATATGATACATCATTGTATTCAAAATCGATTCTAAGCACTAAAAATCTATCAGTGTCAAACTGTCAACCTATATCTCTAAATATACATCATGATAAGTAATGTTTTCTATTTTAATTTTAGTATGTTACCTACGATAGGTTGATACAGTTTTTTCAGAAAATATTGCATTGATCATGTAATTAGTATTTAATTATTACGATAATATGCGTTTATTCCAAATAATATCAACTTATATAAATATCACTCAAAATGGTATGACATATTTCTGCAAAAACAGTAAAACAGTAAAAATAGATTCATAGTATACATTTTTAAAATTACCTACTTCATGTACCATGTAAAATATTAAAATGGTAAAATATAATAATTTGTGACGATTTCAAATACCTACCAATCTACGGTTATTCATTTTTGAATTACAACAAAAAACAAAAATCGTTTGATATAAGTAATAATTATTAAACATTGAATTACACGAGTAAAATATCCGCCGTGAAAATTTTAAATTCAAACGAGCATCATTTTTTTTTTTTTATATAGATAGCAAATCGTACAAGAACCTCTTTCTATTAACTTTTCAAATCTTAAATATGAGCAGAAAATTTTTTATGAATTCACAAAACCAAAAATTTATGAAAATCGGTCACATTCAAAAAAACTTAATTAATATATTATTTTACATAGCTAGATCGTAATACCACTCGAAAACTCAGTAATTACACAGAGCTTGTATTCTGTAATATTGTTAGAGAATATTAATTAAATAAACATTTTTATGCACAGAAAAATACATCATGACGCGTTCATTTTCAAGTAACTAAAATTCAACTATAAAAGACACACTTAGCACGCAACAATAATTTTAAGTTAATTGTGTCTTGTGTAATTTGAAGGTGTTTATAATAATTGAAGACTACAAATCCGTGCAGCTCTCTCATCGGTTAGGTATCATTTAATAACAGCCGTTTAAATTAGAGTAGGTACCACCTATAATCGTACCTAATACATTTAAAAAAACAATATTTTTCGGTAAAACATTAATCAACGGTTTAAGAATTGATTTAAATCCCACAAATTAAATAATTAATATCCAATTTTTACTCAGTACGGATTAACAAAGTAGGTATGTAAATATTCATTGTAATTTGTAATTGAACGTTAAATGAAAATATCACTACAATGAATCACAATAAATGAAAATTATATAAATTTGTGACAATGTCACAATTCTAGTGGGTCGTGGTCAAATAATATAAAATATTTTTTAACATTTGTCTATCCACTGCAAACTGGTTAAATAATTCTAATAGTAATATAAATTTTTTATTGATTTGATTAATAAATTTATTATTTATTAATTAATACAATAACCAAGTGTGTACACTATTTTGTATGATATACTTGAATAGTGCTATTTAATAACTTTTTACTTCAAATGTACCTAAATGAAAATAGAAAATTTATAATATACAAGGTGTAAGTATTTTACTATGATATTTTAATACAACAAGTTTATCATGCACAAATTTTTTGAAAATTTAACTTTTTTTTTGATTATTAAGCCGGCCTTCCATTTTACTTAATTTTTGGAAAATGTATACATATTATTTCACATATTCAGTGAATTTCATTACAAGCATAGAGTATTGTGGCACACTACACATGTTTAGGTCATTTTGAGTTAAAATAAAATAAAAAAATACAATACACTCAATCTGAGGTGCATTAAAATTTTATTTAGAGTTTTAGTACATTTAGTATTTATGTTGTATTATAGTAATTACATATATTGACTTATTATAAAAAATACCTAAGAAATAACATATATGTTTTTTTTTTTTATTAATAGTCTTTTTATTCATATCACGGTTAGTTGTTATTATATTTATATATTTTTTCTTAACAACAATTATTATAAATTTTTTGTTTATGACAATAACAAACTTTCTTAAAATATAGGCACTATTTGGAAATTATTAAATAAAAAAAAAAAAACTGGTTCCAACATTTTTCATAATTATTAGTAATTTAAATAAAACGTAGACATATTTGAAATTACTAAATCTTGCAGTATAATTAAATAAAAATTATGTTAACTGCAGTTATTCAAACAATATGAAATATTTTGGTATTTTTTTACATTCACAAAACACAATAGTTATGTGTGCTTATTAAAGAATATAAGGACATGAGTTTTAAACAAATGTAATTTTCAAAAAATTAAATAAATACACAAAATATTAATAGAATTTATATAATAATGTTTAAAAACCAATATAATAATAATGTATATATATATATATATGTATATTAGATAATCTGTTTCACAATAATAAATAAATAAATATCATAAATACTCATTGATTATAAGTTATAACTAATAAGGTCAGTCAAGATGCAATAAAAATAATGAGCGTCTTTTGGAAAATTGTATTCAAAGATATTTGGACGGATTTAGTAAAAAATATCT